ACGGGGACGGGGGGGGGGCGTAAAAGTGCCCGCGGCAACTTTGATGTCACCTAGCGTCTGAACGGCTAGCCGTAGAACGGCCAAACTTGGTGACTTTTCCTAGAATATTGTTGGCAACATTTCTCTATCATTGGAATAAGATAAAATATTTGTGTGTTGCCATGGCAACGGGTTTCTGACAGGCATATTTTGCTAAATTTAGTACTTTTTGTTTCAACAATAGAATTTTATGGGTTTTATGTCAAGTTACTCATGGTTTCTAATATTAATAACATCCCATATAATTTTATGTAAATTTTATCATTAAATATGCATACTTTATGCTAATTTGATGACGTCATTGGCCAAAATTCAAGATGGCGGACCATATCATTAGAACAGGTATATACAGGTTATTTTCATTAAAATTTCATCAATACTTCCATTTCTTTTTCCAAAAAAGGTTTAAATGAAGGTCTTTAGTATGTTTACAATGTATTGTAGGCTTTATCATGAAAAAAAACTATTTTTGAAAATTCAAGATTCATGATCCAAGATGGCGGATATCTTAAATATGCATGACGTCATTTTATGACGTCACCGGTGTTGCTATGGGCAACATAAGACTTAGTACACCATAATATTCTGTCATAAACACTTTTGGTACAGTTATGTTGAATACCATTTAGTTTTCAGGGAAAACCCTATTTAGACGGTTTTGGCCAATAAAATCACATTAATGACGTCATAATGACGTCATATTACGTCATAAGGACATAAAAATTGTAGATATGATAAATTTTTACTAGTACACCATTCTCTGAAAATTTGGTGGCCATACGACATACCGTTCGCGAGTTCTTAGGGGGGGGGTCAAAAGAGCCCCCTCCCGGTCCCCCCATGTCAAAAAAAGCCCGGTCTAGGTAGGGTTAAGAGGTGTTACATTCTAATGTATGATTTGGAACACTACAATGCATTCGTTTCATACTTCAATAAATCTAGACAAATACGTGCACATAAAGACACACAGCGGAACAAATTTCAAACGAACAAGGCTCAATTAACAGGCACAAGATGGAGCCCCTGGTTACCTACTGTGAACAGAACATGTTTGGGAATAATACGTTTTTGAATGCAACAAGGTGTTCCACTATCATATTACATACATATATACATGCTGAAATATAAAGTTAACATATGATATTGGATGTCATTCGAATACCGTTATCGTCCACCGTCTCCAACAGCGTGCACTGGACGCAGCTGGTTCCGTTGACCACGACGTGGTTGTCCGGACACGGGACACAGTCCCAGCAGCACGGGTTGGACCGCTGGATCCGCTGGAGGTCCGCGGGACACGGCTCGCTACACACCGACGTCGGCACCCAGAGAATCTCCGGGTCCGAGACATCCACGTGCTTTATACCTGGGAATAAAAAAACCGCTAAATCAACGGCTGCTTGGTCACTACAAAGACGGGGGATGCCACAGACTTCCTGCAACATATAATTCACTGCTCAACGTGTCAATGAATGCTTGATCTCAACAAAGACGGGGGGCGCCACAGACTTTCTGCAACATATGATTTCACTGTTCAACGAATCACTGACCGCTTCATCTCAACAGAGACGGGGGATGCCACAGACTTTCTGCAACATATGATTTCACTGCTCAACGAGTCACTGACCGCTTCATCTCAACAAAGACGAGGGACGCCACAGACTTTCTGCAACAAATTATTCACTGCTCAACGAGTCACTGACCGATTCATCTCAACAACGACGGGGGGCGCCACAGACTTTCTGCAACATATTATTCACTGCTCAACGAGTCACTGACCGCTTCATCTCAACAAAGACGGGGGACGCCACAGACTTTCTGCAACATATGATTCACTGCTCACCGTACTACTGAACTCTCTAGCTGCATGGTCATTGTACTACTTCTGTTAAAAAAACAAGACCTTACTGAAATGCCCTAGCGGATGGTGGTGCGGATGTTCCTGGTGTTGTGGGTATGTCGCTGTGTGAGTCCAGTTCCAGACGACTTTGTCCAGGTCTATCTTGATGGAGCGGTCGATGGAGTCCCACTTCCCGACGATCACGTGCTCAAAACCGCCATCTGCTCGCCGCTGAAGGTTCCTGACGTCATACCTGCCCATGACGTCACCGTTAGCGTCGAACTTGACCCGACCGCACGAGCCTTCAAACGTCGTGTTCAACAGGGCATCCCTGAGGGGGGGGGGGGGGGGCACGGCAGTTAAAGTAATAAAATTAAATAATATGGAACAAGAAATGTTTTTTGCTGGACTCTATCTTAGGCCACAGCAAGTAATTTTTATGGATGACATCAGCGCGCGCATTGATTTTAGCCTGATTTTGGGGAAAAAACAAGAAATCTGACAGTGATCAACATGCTTAAAATGGGCAAAGGTATCTGTTGCCATGCCGAAACGTGGATTGCAGATAACTATGAAGACATGAGACAAGAAAAGGCTCTGATTCAATGTGTTTTTTTTTTTTTCGCAGTGATTTGTGATCCTGGCTGTGTATACGTGATGTTCCTACTGAATGAAAACCGTCCTAAAATATTACTGGGTGAAGTATACATCTTCAAGAACCGTCAGTCCACATTTATTTTTCTGTATAATTTTGTTTTTATTTGTCAACCATTTCGGATCCATGGAAGAAAATGTTGCAAGAAAAAAAATAATTTAACCAGACACTACAGCAAATGAAGAAAACTTTTAAATATGGATAGCATGTAAGTACTATATAAAAAATCTACTTTTCACCCCTTACCTTAAAATGACTCCCTTATATGGAGACATCAGAAGGCACTCAGCAGTCTGTGCGGCACACGCTTTGATCACCGAGTCCAGCGCATGCGCGTAGGCAAACACAGCGTCCCGCACGTAGTGCACTATGGGATCGTCTCTCTCGGCCGCCATGACAGTTTTACAGGCCTCTGCTGTAGTCTGGTTACAGGTCGCATTCTGGATCATACCAGCTTCTAAAAACCAAAAACATAATCCATCAACATTTTCATAAGGTTGGTGAATGAATAAATGGCGAAGTTCTATATTAACAACCACTTGCTTGGCAAAAAAAATGTTGGAAAATTCATGTTAATGTGTCAATGATCCAGCTTTAAACAGAAAAGATGTCATGTTTTTATTTTATGTTGACCAAAGGAAAACATATTGTTTTTGCTCTGTTTCCTCTTCTTCTCCAAAGCAATAAGGTCAATGACCTGAACTAGACGTCTATCACCATGGTAACTAGTGTTGGGTCACATCATGTTGCAATTTTATAAAAGGCGGGATTTATACTCCTGTCTTGCCATAATATGTGAATGTGTTTGAGTAAGAATTAACAGAGCAGACCATGTGCGAAGGTAAATATTATGCATTTGTTTTGCAAATGTTACCTTTTTAGTTTTTCTTTATTCCAACAAGTCTAAGTGTTCTGACCTATCATCTCGCCGAGCCAGGGGTTATTGTTGTCGGCGTTGAACGCCGTGAAGCTCCCGGCACAGGACGCAGGCTGGAAGGTGATGGCACCGAGAGCGGCCATCTCGTTCCCAGACATCTCCTCTGTCGTGGTGCCCCAGCCGTCACTCCCCACCCACACGAACTGTCCTGTCGTGTTGAGCCGCAAGGAGGCGCTGAGAATCATGTTCGTTTCGAAGATGGTGGTGAACATGATGACGACCCGTGCCTTGTAGGAGAGAGATATAGACTTGGTGCAAAAGTAGTAGGAACTTAGTTATACGTGTGAATCCTATTTTTTTTATTATTCAAGCTCAATGCGAAACAAAATTACAGTGGGTGTCACTGAAAGACATAAAATTGTCCATACTATGCAAGGTATACAAAATGACTAACAAACTGGTGGACGTACCAACTAGTAAGTATCTAATACCAGCTCATTTATTAACCAAGGAGCCACGAGGTTTTCAAAAACTTGTATTTTTCTAGAATTATCGTAGAGTGAAACTCGTTGCCACAAATTACAGAAGGCTCATCATTACCAGATAGCTCCTAACAACGTTTACGGTTAGATCTGCAATTTAGGTGTAATCGTTCGTTCAGTGTAATATAGCCAGCTGCCACCGCACCGAGTGCCTGCTAAGCTAGTGTGTTACGCCGTAGGGCAGTCATAGCTGTACAGATACAGATATCGGCACAGAATCGTACACCCAGGCCTGCGTACAGCTAGCATACCTCTGGGTAAGACTGCAGTTTCCTGATAACGTCTTCCACGTGACGATCTGTGGAACTCCTACACACCTGCTGCACTGTGGCGATACAGATGTCTGTCTGGGCCACCTTCTCCTGTAAGGAACGCATTCCTAAACAGGGGAAAAGGAATATGCTTTAACTATTTTGCAAAGCAAATGCATCATGTTTACATTCACATGGCCCAGCTTAACAAACTACTGCTTTGGTCATTCTTACTTAAACACACTCATACATTTGGTGATCATGCAGCCCCTCTGGAATTCAGTTCTGCATGAAACTTGAAACCTTATGTAACCCAACACCAGTTACCATGGTGATATACGCCTGGTACTGGTCTTTCACCTTATTTGCTTGGAGAAGGAGAAGAAGAGAAAGAAGAAGAAACAGAGCAAAAACCAGATGTTTTCGTTCTGCGAAAACTGGACAGCGGCCAAGATGGGAATATCCTACCAAAGGTGCGAAAAATATTCAAAGTTACCAAGAACAAATTAGAGAAGAGTAACTAAATGCGAAACTGAAAGGAAAAAGCTTATGTTGGAAAGTTAGTGTAACAGTTGTATATTAGTAAGCTTGCTCCATGACTCAATCGATATCAACCAAAGTCACCTTCAAATCCGTATCCTCCGTCCGAGTACACGAGCGACACGTACGTCCAGTTGAAGTACTGCAGCAGGTCTACGATCGCCTCTGCCTGTCGAATACAGAACAACGGGGATGATATTTGCAGGTAGTTGATGACAGTAGAATAAAACTTACGCCGATAAATGTAGTCTTTTTTAGATTTCTATAAATATATAGTTTTTCAAAAGGTTATCTTATGACAAGTGGTTTCAGTATTTCCTTTACACGCTACACGCTTGTCAGATTCTGGAGGAAGTTTACTATTAAGTGAGACAATGCACACTGATGAAGATTATGAAAGGAGTGGAAATATTGATGTTGCAATTTACCTGCAAGTTGTCAGGTGTCGCTGTGCGAAGGAAGAATGGATACTGCGTCTTGTCTGACAGCAGATAGCTGGTGGAGATGTAGCTTATCATTGGGACCTAGAAAAATATATTTTTGTTAAATTGTTAGAAAAACAGATGAAGCCGTAAAGTTTCAAGCCTAAAAAAATAAAGCTGACAAATTCTCGCGAGATTTACCTGCTGTAACGCGAGAAGGTGCGAGACCAGCATGGATGACGTACTGAATGACGCACCCACCACCCCTACCAGGTTGGAATATCTGTCAGGGCAATAAAATTTAGATTTGAGAGTGGTTCAAAGCAAAAGTAACGTCATGTTGGGGTTCACCCTAATACAAGAATTAGTAGTGATTTTGCAGCAGTATTGTGATGTTTAGAATAATGCTATGATGTTACATCTAGTGCCACGTAGTGGTATATGTCGTAACCCTACAGCAAAATATGACAGGACGATTTTGCTTTGTAATTTATGATTTGGGTAAAAAAAAGAACGTTTTATCATCCATCTACAGAAAATCATTGGCATAAGTAATTAAAGAACCCAACGCTGTGCATTTTTTGTATGAATTATTACTTACTCCTACATTGAGCACATAATATTTCCGTCCGTGTGTAGCCTTTAACAAAATTGGATTTTAGACTTTGTTGTATTATCTGCTCTGATGATTTTATGTATTGAGTGTTTATCGATGTAAATGTTGGCGCACTTTAAGTTAATGTTCAATATCGATAAAGCTTGAACTGAATCTGAACCTTTTCGCGTTGTTCATCTGCTGGGCACTGCATATAGTTATTTTTGGCGACGTCACAGTATTGTGTGCAGTTTGCAAGAATTCTAGGAATGGTACAGGCATTTTCTCCACAGGAATGGAATGTCCACAGGCATGTCTCTGACCCACATCTATGCCCACATTCCTGGAAACCCTTGGGAAGACCTCTCTGCCCCGGATGGCCCTACTTTCTGTGACCCCGGGGCTCGTTCACTACACACTCAGGGGAGGGGTGCACTGTATCTGTCTAGACTTAACAGATACCAAGTCTTCCTCAAAATCATGAAATGATGGCAGTGCCATGAAAACAATAGCCCTAACAGCAACCACCGTCGCCATGGCAATGTATGTTTTCATTGCCAGTCTTGTTTCTCTTATTCTGAGTTTTATTTTCTTACCTTTGGCAGGCTACTCTTTTCTCGCAGGTATGTTGGATGAAGTTGAGGCTCTGGTTGAGCGCAATGGACTCTCGGGAGCAGGTGTCATAAATGGCGTACCCTAACGTCACACCGGAGAGGATGTCGGGATTGTTGTTGACGTCATCCACCGCCTGTGCCATGGCCAATAGGCGCTGGACGCGGGAAGGTCCCAGGAGAGCACCGCACTGGTCATAGCCTTTGTACCTTAGGCCACAGCAAGTAATTTTTATGGATGGCATCAATGCACGCTTTAATTTCCTTGCCCTTTGACAGTGGTCAACATGCTTAAAATAGATGTCTATTGCCATGCCTATAGGAATTTACATGGTTTAGGAATCCAAGGTAAAAACATCCGACACTTCAAAATTTACAGTACTTTTACTCGTAGTTTAAAATTTGCACAAGCAAGGAAAACAGAAATTGAATAATGTTTTCATGCTTCAGGGAACAATCTACAAAATATGTGTGAAAATCAACTCAAAAGACCTCGGCAAGTAAAGACCTTGTTTATATATGTCCTTGAAAATGACAGAATTGTGATATAATTGCACATATATGTTGAAAACTGAAAGTAGATTACAACCATACGAATATTTTTTTTTCAATTAAAATATTTCAATTTTTTGTTCAAAAAATGTTACATATTGCCCCTTTAAAAGGCTTAGTGTGATCTTAAGTGGATATTGCTATTAGTCGAGATGATAAACATTGTCATAAAATGTTTCCTCTCAACCCTAGGTCTGCATTGCATATCCTTTAGATGTAGACGTTCTACCACTTTGACCACCACAACAATGAAGAATTACAGATTCTGAACTATATTAAATAACTAAAGGTATGTGATTTTTTTCAAAATTATTTAGAAACCAAATGTTTTACTCACCCGTGGATTGGAAACAGTCCACCCAGGATGACCGTCCCCTCTTTGTGGTAACTAACTCCGAGAACAGCCGTACAGGACGCAACCAGGACGGCCACGTACCGGAGCTGAGACATCGCTTCAGTCAACCAACAGATTCATCCTTGAAGAAAAGCAAAGTCCGTCATAAAAATTTTAATGCTGTTATGAGCAAAACAGTATCCAATGAAACTGACCAGACAGTATCCAATGCGCTTAGCTGGCATACAAAAAAGATACCGGTACAAAAAAAAAAATATTGACGAAAAGGAATAAAAACGACGTTAGAAATAAGTAAGCCTAATCCTCTGCTAGGATACTATGACCGGTGTAAAAAAAATATACAAGTACATAAAAAAAACCCTGCTAAAAACATCTAAAATGTCTAGAATAAGCCGGAGCCTAATCCTCTGCTTTGAGGGTGTGGCCGACGTAGAAAAAACATATACAAGCACATAAAAGAAATCCTGCTAAAACGCATAAAATTCAATAATAATCCGAAGACTAACCTTGGAGAGTAGTGTTATGTCTAAGGTAGATGTCCTGACGATGTGACCGTGTCGCAGTGCGCTACGTGCCTACTGACATGTGTGTTCATCAACCATTTCCTCTTTTATAATTGTCTAATATCAAAAAAGCGTAATCCAAAACCACGCATTAGATCAGTACAAACAGAGTGACGTGTGAGAGTCCGTTGACTGATACACTCTCGACTCACCGAGGAATGTTGATTTCCCAAAGCAACTCTTACTGTGTGTTCTACACTACAATCATAAATTGGACTGATAAATTCCACAATTTTCATTCCACGGTTGATGCAGCATTGCGACTGTATTCTTAGAAGACCTTCTGTCTTTATTTAAAGAACAGTTTGTGATAAATGCAAGAGAATTGTTGTTTATCAGCATCATGAAGACCTCATATAAAGCGGAAGTATTAGTAACTGTTAGTAGGTATTCAGCATTTCCAAGTTCCCAGAATGCATTGCGCCAGGTTGAAAAATAATTCCCAGGTTGCGTAGCGCCTTTGGAATCATGTGCTCCTGAGGTATGTTTACATTTGTTGATGACAGAATCTAAAATGATGAAGGTTGCTCCGTTATAAAGTGTACATGTATAATGTCAACTGTATAATATTTCATTTTAACGGTTTGTAATATTTTAGGTTATGTAGAAGTGAGTTGTGTGTTTTTTAATGTAAGTGAACCGTTTCCAGCCAGATGGCTGCAATGTTTTACATTCATTCATTTTATTCATTCATTCATTCATTCATTCATTCATTCATTCATTCATTCATTCATTCATTTATTCATTCATTCATTCATTCATTCATTTATTCATTCATTCATTCATTCATTCATTCATTCATTCATTCATTCATTCATTCATTCATTCATTCATTTATACTCATATTGACTCCCTTGACGTTATGCATCCTGGGAATTTTTTTACTACACCCCCTGCTGCAATGCATCATGGGCCTTTTTAAAACGGTGGTGAATTGGAGACCTAGCGATGTGCTCGCTTGGAGGATGTGGTCGCAGTGACATGGGGTTTAGCCTAATTTGAATATCCGGGGAATAAACTGGCTGGAAAAGCATAACAGTTTACAGTCAGGAATATTTTCTTATGTCAATTATATAATCACTATCAAGTTTCATTATTTCTGGCACGTAAACAAAGAAGGGAGGCAATGATTGAATTGATTATTCGGGGTTTCAGAGACCTCCATTAGCTATTTACGTATGCCGTGAAAGACTATGATGTAGCTATATCAACATTGACATGTGGACTGTTGAACATTTCCAAGAATATCGTTCAAGGACAGGTCAAAAGCCTTCGGTCACGGTGCTTATGTCTTACACTATGCTTCGACGGAATTACTAAGGCCACACCAAGTAAATTTCATGGATGACGTCCGCGCGCGCATTGATTTTGGCCTGTTCCTAGAAAAAACCCAAGAAATTCCGCTTCCTGTAACTATGACCAAAGAGTCACGACAGTGCCGCAAATCGTTAGATTGACGTGAACCCCGTAACGTGAAATGGGTAAAGAGCACATGCTTTGTTTCTGCAGGCCTGCAAAAATGTGATGAAAGAAACAGGACAGGACGATTAGCTGTTCCACCTATTTTATTGCTGTTTTGATGATGAATAAAAGACTTCTTGCTTGTTACACTGTGTCGCCTCATTCAATTTGTGTCCTAACATTTGTCGTCTTTTAGTATATTTCTAATCTAGGCATCTTGTTTTTCAGGGCCTTTCTTGTTTTTTTTCGCCCTCTCGCATTAGATTTAGGGTCTCCAAAGGACGTCATCCATGAAATTTACTTGGTGTGGCCTAATAGTAGTTTGATGTCACAGTGAATTGGTGATCTAGTATTTTATATCGTTACTCCTCAGCTTTAATTTGAGCAAACACTTTTAAGCGTCATGCACGTCATCCACACATATAGTACATTTATATCCTCTTCCAGTTAGATGGGCGGACAGAGCTGGAAATACTGGGTGCTAAAGTATCCTCCTTCGCAGACTTGTTGCGTTGTTTTTTTCGGTGAGCGACGCGAGTAATATGCCTCGGAGGGACGATTTTGCTGCCGAGGGAGTTTTGCCGTGGAGAGAAGGTTTCTCGCTCCAACCTTCTCACCCTGGCAAAACTCCCTCGGCGGCAAAATCATCCCTCCGCGGAATAACTCGCGTCGCTCACCGAAAAAAATAACGCCGCCGCCCAACAAGTCTGCGAAGGAGGCTAGTGCTAAGGGTGTACTTATCTATCTGATGTTATTGTGCAGGGCTTGAAATACATTATACACTTGTACACATATGTAGGTTAGTGAAGGTAAAGCGTTTATTGAGGTGGTTGAAATTAATCATTTTTTGTCCGTTCGAACATTAAAAAACTCACAGACACCAAACTTGCACTGATATGCAGGAAAACAAACACAACTAGAGTTCCCCGATCTCATACCTTCGCCAAATGATGTTAATCTTTATGACTGACAAATTATACATAAGATTATTCCCCCGATTTAAGAAATAGGAACCTAATTTTCATGAATTATATCATTTTATCATAATCTCAACCAAAAGACAGTCTTATATTAACAAACAATGCATTCTAGCATTTCCTAATAAATTATGCAAATGAGGTCCTGATTTGAATAAATTATGTTTAATGATGTTCACCTCAATTTAACTTTCAAATACCACAAGTATGAAATTCCAGGCAGTTATCATTACATAATTATAAAATTTTCTCATTAATTATGCAAATTAAGTCATTATTAACATAATCAATATCTTCCTGTGTTTCTCTCGTTGTCAATTACCAATGTCACAAGCTTCAATTGTCCTATCATGGAATGCAGATGATTTATAGAATTTCCCCATAAATTATGCAAATTACATCCATATTTGCATAATTGTCACATAATTATATCAAGCATCACGTAAGCTACCTACATACCAAAAATCACGACAATCCGTCAACTGGTTCTTGAGTTATCCCCTTTTGAATATTTTCAAGAATATATCCCTGCAGTTCCAGAGCAAGCCGCTAGGGGGCCTAAACTCACGTCACTTCTTCCCCAGCGCAAGAGCTACATACCATCCAAATTTCATCACCATAGCATGTCTAGATCATGAGATATCAAAAACGGAAGTTCAGCTGCAGTACCATAACAAGCCGCTAGGGGGTCCAAAATCTAATCATTTTGAGGTCTCATCAAGACCTACCCACCTACCAAGTATCAAGACAATCCATGAAGGCCTTCTCAAGTTATCGTGTTTACAGACACACACACACACACACAAACACACACATACACGAACGCCCCTGAAAACATAACCTTCTTGGCGAAGGTAATAACGTTATAGTTATAGTGAGATATAATCGACTGAAATGGTTTGGCCACCAAATGGCCTAGGAAGATCCCCACATGCCCAAACCCTCGTGGTTCGACAAGGAGAGGCTTATGTGAGTCTCTGATAGACTTAGACACGAAAATAGAAGCAGCGAGCGGTAAGGAAAGAAGTCGCTAGGTGGCGCCGGTGCACAGTGGTGCAACAGGTTTTGCGGGGTCGCTGTATCTGTATTGGTATAGCCGGTATAATAACCGCCCTTCGGCGTAACAAACACACCAGTCTGACGGATCAGCAGGGGTTCCCAACATGGATAGTTCGATGGCGACAGAGAAGGCAGAAGTAGAGCGCAAAGTAGCGCAACTTTGCAAGAAAATCGACTCCTTCGGCCTCTCAGACGAGGACATCTATGGAGTCAGCTCGGTGAAGAAGTTGAGCGGACGCCGTACAACATGTCGGGGGAAACTCTTCGCTACAGCCGCGGTGCTGGCTGTGGTCGTCGCGGCGGTGGTCGTCGGGCTCGGCACCGGCCTGGTTCCCCCGAAACTGGCGGAACACCTGTTCACCCTCCTGGCAGGGGACATGGAGAAGGATCGCTGCATCGTTACGTACATAGAGGAAATCCAAGACTCCTTGCGTCCGCCCGTCAACTGCCAGATGTGTGCGGGCATCCAAGAAGTGGACAGGGTTCGGAACATGACGCCTGCCGAATTTATCGCCAGGTCAGTTTGCATGTGTTTTCTGTTTTGCTTTTTTGCAGGAAAAAAAAAAACTGTAGTTGCATAAACAAAAGTGACAAACGTGATATGGGAACGGCAATGATTTTTTACGGTTTATGATTTTTTTTTTCAAAACATCGAACTGTAAACAACCTTGCCATTACTGGAATATCGTCATTATTATCAACCATTTAATTATGTGGTCTGAACTGCCTGGAGCATTTGAACGTTGTAGTCTGACAACCATTATAAACCTGCTTTCCCAGACATCTCGAGTGTAGAATTTCGGTGACCAAACCTGTTACATTCTCCCGAACAAAATTTGGTGTAAGGATGTGCACGTGTTCATTTATAAGAAGGCAAAGCGCCAAATTGAATCACATCACATAAGATTATCGATGGAACTACGCGCATGAATTTTCGACCCCCCTCTCTTAAAAGGTTTCGACCGTACTGCAAATCTCACAAAGCAGACAAAAGGAGCAAATGTATGCCGTGAATTGCAAATGAATATTATTAGAAAACGATGCGAAAGTCGTAAAATTCCAAAGCTAGAGAAGAAATATAGACATGCACCAGAACCCTTCTCAACTTTATTTAATGTTGTTCAGGTACGCCTACACTGCACGGCCTGTGATAGTGGAGGATGGGACACAGAACTGGACAGCCTCAGAGTACTTCAGTTTCGACTACTTCAAGTCGGTCTACAAGCCAGACAGCCCGGCACTGCTGAACGAAGAGCACAGCTGCCAGTTCTTCCCGTACAAGACAAACTTCGAGACTCTGGGAGAAGTTTTCAACATGAGTAAGGAACGGGCGAATCTTGAAGACGGGTCGGAGCCGTGGTACATTGGATGGTGGGTCCAATATCAATCTGATTTTTTTTTATTTCAGAGAAGACATGAATATACAGAAAAGTGAAATTAAAATATACACATGTACTAGAAAGGTAACATTTGCGAAACAAATGCATAATGGTCTACTCTCAGTTTAATTCTTACTCAAACACAGTCTAAATCCCTCTTGCTATAAAACTGCAACATGATGTAACCAAACACTCAAACAACAGACAGTCTGGTTCAGGTCACTGACCTTTTTGGTTTGGAGAAGTGGAGAAGAAGAGGAAACGTAGCAAGAACAATATGTTTTCCTTTTGTATAAATAAATGCTAGTATTTGACTGCACACTAAAACTTATGAATAATGAATAAGAGGAGAGGTAACTATAACGACATGAGTTCGAACCCCATATTGAAAAAAAAAAACAAAGAGAACACATAAAACTAAATTAAAATCGTTTTGTTGATATGGTATATAGCTTTGTGTGGCGGACATAAATTGACACACATAATGATTATTTCAAGTGAGACAGTCCTAGGATCTACGTTTCAAAATAATGGTAACTCAGTATGCCAATATCTAATTTATTGCATATGACCCAGTTGCATATGACCCTAAATTGCATATGACCCAGTTGCATATTGCATGTGACCCTAAATTGCATATGACCCAGTTGCATATTGCATGTGACCCTAAATTGCATATGACCCAGTTTGTAACTAGCCTCCTTTGCAGACTTGTAGGGCGGCGGCGTTATTTTTTTTCGGTGAGCGACGCGAGTTATGCCACAGAGGGACGGTTTTGCCACCGAGGGAGTTTTGCCGAGGAGAATACAGTTTCGTCCCCAACAACATGCGAAACGCTCTCTCGGCGGCAAAACCGTCCCTCTGCGGCATAACTCGTAGCCTGGTCCAGTCTGATCGTGATTGGGGGTATTGGGGTGTTCAGGCAGGTTGTGTCTTCGGGGGCTCTAACAGCCTCCCCCGCCCAGTGCAACAGACCGTCCCGGTAGGAGTGTTACGCTAATCAGAGACAGTATGCTTGGGGATTTGGTTTGTGGAGGGCTAATTAATCTGTCGTGAAATACACACCGGGAAACTTATGTGAGGCGGGCGGGCCAGAGCTCTTACGGCCCCGACCACGATCAGACTGGATACCAGGCTACATAACTCGCGTCGCTCACCGAAAAACAGAACGCCGCCGCCCTAAAAGTCTGCGAAGGAGGCTAGTTTGTAACTGTTCATGTATCAGCTCGATTATCCCTTTCCGTCACCAGGAGTAACTGCGATGCAGAGGTGGCCAATGACCTGCGGCGGCACTACGGGCGACCGTACTTCCTCCCGGCCCAATCGGAGTCCAGTAGGACTGACTGGATCTTCATGGGAAGTCCCGGATACGGAGCCCACCTGCATGTAAGTGTTCTTTTTTTGTAGCCTGGTTACCAGACCTATCATAGCTCCCAAGTCCTACATTCCCTCCGCGAATAGAGGAGAGGATGTAGGACTCGGGAGGTCTGGTAACCGGGCTACTTTAAATGTTTGAATTCGTTCTGTTTTCAACACGAAAATATACATAGGCCCAGTTTACACGGTGAAAAAATTGTATCTGTCCTTAGTACAGATATCTGCTTTATCTTATAACTGTGCACGTCTAGATCTATCACCTTTGAGACATTGATTAGCCACTTAATGAACTGTTATTATTCACATTTAGCGGCTATTTCTCACAAGAGTTAGGTCACGTTTAGTTGATTTGATAGTATGAATTAAAATGAAGAGTCTTTTATTCGCTATACCATACTCATTTGGTCAACCTTCATGACCAAGTAGATATAATGAAGGCAACTTTTAAACTTTTTTGTCATTTTTTTATTCGCACGCTCGCATCAGTTTTTTTTGTTTCCCAGGGGATGTGATCCATATAATCACACCAACATGGCCTATATTATACAGTCAAACCTGTCCAAGCCGGCCACTCGGGGCCAAAGAAAAGCACGGCCGCCTTGGACAGGTGGTCTCCTTGAAGTGGGTCGCTTCACAACATGGCTGAGACATAATGGTTTCCGACGGTCAAGATGTTTTAATGTCAAATGCTTTGAGCATCTTCAGTTCTGTAGTGAATGCACGGTTGGAGGGTGCGGTGGCACATGGAAAAATTTACGTCGAACAACAACAACAACAACAACAACAACAACAACAACAAAATAACAATTTCAATTTTCCGTGTCCCTCAGATTGATCATGTTGATGGGAGAACATCCTGGCAGGCTCAGGTGAAAGGGACGAAGGAGTGGACAATCGAGCCGCCGCCGGAGTGTTACTTCGAGTGTCCCCACACAATAAAGGTTACCGTACACCCAGGAGAAATAAGTCAGTATTCATATCTTGAAAATTCATCTGTGTGGGTAGAAGTCATATGCATTATGATCAACTGTAGCAAGTAGTAAATGGACTGATATACTAGTATTCTAATCTATGCTGTTTCTAGTACCCTTGTACTTATTTTTATGTACTTATATTGGGTTTAAATGTGTGTCTTGTTTGTGTGCTTATGATTGTTTTGTGTGTGGGCCACAACACCAGCCCCCGCTGCCTGTGGCCCACGAGTATTGTATTTGTTTGCAATCCCAATAAATCAAATCAAATCAAATCAAGATTGAACTGTAATTTCCAATTCAACAAAAATTGAACTCCAGTCGTTGTCAAGGAATGAGCAATATACCGCTTCCGTGACGTCACGCAGATAACACACGTGACTCCGTGAGCAGTTTATTATAGGTTACAGAAAGTCTGTGGCGCCCTCCGTCTCTGTTGAGGGATGGTTGTAGATGTAGATGACCTCTTTAATAACTGAAGTCGTTACAATACTATTAGAATCAAGAACAAGAGGCAACAGCAGGTTTATATTTTTGGCCGGTATTTTCAATACCTGAAAGGATTATTCTTAATTCTAACAAACCATTCTCTATTTCCTCCCATGCAGTTGTGCTGGACACCAACAAATGGTTCCACAAGACACTGATCATCGGAGATGAGATGAGCATCACCATCGGCTCCGAGTACGACTAGAAATAAATGTGGATCTGACAACATGAATGAAATACCTTATTTTACATTTTGCTCCAATTAGGACACACTAAGTAACTTTTATGGATGATGTCCACGCACGCATTGATTTTGGCCTGTTCCCAGAAAGAAAAAAAAATGAAAGAAGTCCACTTCTTGTAACTATGATCAAAGAGTCACGACAGTGGGATAAGGTATGGTGTGATTAAAGGAAACAAGACAGGACGTCAACTGCTGTTCAACTGATTTATTGATGTTTTCACTACGATAAAACAAATTGTTCTCTCATTCCAAGTTTGGGTCCTAACATTTGTCGTCCATTAGTCATATTTCCAATATAGACATTTTGCTTTTTTCGGCCCTTGTTTTTTTCGCCCTCTTGCATTAGATTTAGGGTCTCTAGAAAATTAATTAGTGTGGCCTTACAGGCTAAGTACAGATCATATAAAGATACAGACATATCTCACCATACATACTAATGTGTACTACCGGTTCGACTACTTTGTACAATTTTCTCCTCGCTTCTCACAGTTACTCAGCTTTCTGAAATAATCAAATGGGATAAACAATCTGGTCTGTTTTACGGAATCTAGAGTAAATATATGCAGTTCCCGAATGCCCGGACATATTTTATCATGGTATTGCTTTCACTGTGAATTTGCTGTGCTTCAACTTAATAAAAGTTGGGACTGTATCGTGAGCTGTAAGTTTGGTTTTTACTAATATATCATATAATTTGAAAAGCCGACATAAAATAAAGTAAGATGTTACTTGAACGAAGGATGTCGACTGTTTTTGCCATGTGTTTTTATTTTTTTTCTTTGCAAGGTTTTGGGATCATATAACAAGTTACAAGTCTTGTGCTTAGACTTTGCCACAAAATCTTGGCTGTTCCCTATCTGTGGCCAACAGCATGTCAGAAAGTTGCAAAGAAAATTAGAAAGAATACCTTCACGTGATAACTTTTTCGCAATATCCGATGACAAAGTCATTGATAATGCATGTAACAGTTACTAGTAGTACGCACTATTTGGGTAATCAGGGGACAAAACCGCATCACATGCAATTTTGCTCGCGCGGACTAATCTTCACTGGCCGACAAAGTTTACCACGCCTGAAAATATTACAATCCATGTTTTTTCGGTAAATTCGGGAAACTTTTTGCACATCTATAATAATTGAGAACAGAAATGGGGAGCTATTTTAACATATAGATCTACTGTGCATTTGCTAGTACCCAGATTTCAACTCTGACCCGAAACGAGAAAATCCGGAAGCCTGAGGCTATTGACAGGATCGTCCTGTCAACAGCAGGAAATACTGCACTGCTGACAGGATCGTCCTGTCAATAGCAGAAAATACTGAACTGCTGACAGGACGATCCTGTCAATAGCAGAAAATATTGCACTGCTGACAGGACGATCCTGTCAATAACAGGAAATACTGCATTGCTGACAGGATCGTCCTGTCAGCAGTGCCATTTTTGACACTGTTGACAGGATCGTCCTGTCAGCAGTGCCATTTTTGGCACTATTGACAGGATTTTTTAAATCTTCCATTTTGGGCTCTATTGACATGATTTCTTCTTTGTTTTCATTTTTTTAACCAGTCAGAAGGCATATGCTACTGTACTGCAGATTAGGCGTTTCACGATGGCGGCTATCATCACGTTAACAGTTATCAATACAGAGTACTCCAGCAGATATATGTCAAAACTAGACATGTTCAAAATATAAATACAAGCGAATTTCATGCATAAGCTGTCTGAAATACGAAGGCGGTTACATAAGATGAAGACAATGAAAAAGACAAAAAGAAGTTGATCTCTATCCATTATTTATTCTTTCAACAACTTCGAAATCAAATGGAACAAATCCAGGAAAGTACCGCTGGTGTGGCCGGTTCAGCTAGCCGGCCCGCTAACAACAACAGCCCCCTGGCGCGCGTATCCAGCTGGCCACCGAATTTTACCGGCCCCACTGGGCCCCCAGTACCGGCAAAGGCACGCTGCAGGGCCTGGCACGCTGGTTAGTGTTACTGTTACTGGGGGGCGGGTTGTTGTGTTGCTGTTTGCACGCCTGACGGTTAACCCTGGGTGCCCCAGAGTCCGGCGTTTATTTGGCGATAGATTTCGGGAGAAACCGTATTTGTCCGCTACCATTATCCACCCAAACCCCTTCGTCCACGCGAAGCCCTCTATATAAACGCCTCATGCGCTAGGAGATATTTAGAATTTAGACACAGTGTGCCAAGTAGGTCTGCCGGGAGTATGACTTCCCGTGACTTTTTACTTAGAGGATAGACACTCGCGCGCGGGGTGGCACCCAGGCTAGCCCGACGGGTACCCGCCGGTGGACCGCTGTGTCATTCCCGTGGCGCCGGCTGTAATGGCTAGCGCTTACTGTCGCCCCGACTAGCCTCTACCAGGCACCGTGGATCGCTGGAAAAAATAATAGAAATTGGCCGAAATAAAGGGAATATATACCAAGGGAGTTAGCCGACCTTATTCCCTTTATTTCGGCCAATTTCTACTATTTTTCCAGCGATCCGCGGTGCCTGGTAGAGGCTAGTCGGGGCGACAGGCACGCACTGCCGCCGCATTGCTTACGGACGAGGCCAGGCGCGCGCTACCGAGCGGGGGATCAATGTATGCACGACGATCTGCAGGGGCCGCAGCGCAGGATCGTAAAAAATGGCCTAATAGCATACATAATAACATCTACATAAGACCTACACGAACCAGCGCCCACCCCAAAATTTCCAGTACGAAATAAAAATACCAAAATTTTATCGATCCTGTCAATAGTCGAATAATTTGCACTGCTGACAGGAAAAATCCTGTCAGCAGTGCAAATTATTCTACTATTGACAGGACGATCCTGTCAGCAGTGCAATATTTTCTGCTATTGACAGGACGATCCTGTCAGCACGTGCAATATTTCCTGCTATTGACAGGACGATCCTGTCAGCAGTGCAGTATTTTCTGCTATTGACAGGACGATCCTGTCAGCAGTGCAATATTTTCTGCTATTGACAGGACGATCCTGTCAATAGCCACAGGCAAAAAAGAATGCTTTTCTTGTAGGATCGTTTTATGGGAATATTTCAACACTGTGGCGGGTTTACCTGAACACTCCCGAAGGATCTATTGACAATGTACAAAACAACAAACTATGTGAGATAAAACAAGTTTGAAATCAACACTTTGGCGGGTTTACCTTACATTTGTCACAACAGCCCAAAGGCCCGTCACGCAGCGCGTCGGGTGCCCGTCAGGGAGCCGCCCGAGAGCTCTTCGGATACGCCGCCGGAACGCCGTCAGAACGCACGGACGGCCGTTTCGAACGGTGTATAAGGTGTTTCAGGCGTCCTGGACCGTTTTTTTTCGCCTTTTTCAAGGCGTCCAATATCTCCGTTTACCACCAGGGCCAGGCAGCCGTCCCAAACGGTCAGTCACCCCAAACGGGTATCTAAACGG